ATTTTAATATTTATTTTTTAGTTTTCGGCAGACACAACATCTTTGTATGTGGTGCTGAGGCTCGAACCCTGGCCGCACGCATGCCAGGCAAGTGCGCTACCACTTGAGCCACATCCCCAGCCCCTACTGGTTAATTTTTCATGTTTCTTTCCTTTTATTTGTGGTAACAGTGATGTCCTTATTAGTATAATATATGTTTGTATTTATATACATTATTATTGATATTCCAAAAAGGGATTGTTTAATTTTCCATTTGACTAGGATCACCAGGAGAAATTTAAAAACAAATCCAAAATAATATGAACTTGATAGCTTATTTTCTATATTTCTTTGAGAATAGAAAATGTTTCCTTTGATTTCCTTTTTTTGTCTACTGTTTACTAAAAACAATATTTTTATAGTTCTAAATTCTATAGATATTTATTTCTTATACACTATTTTACTTTTTATGTGTTTTCATTTACTGGTGCAATTATTTTTCTAGTATATTAGTTTGTAAGCTTAGACTTGAGAGCACAGAATGTATGTCATGTATGTCTTTAGTTTGAGCAGCATGCTTACTTGCACACAATTTATATATAATATATAACCAATCTTTTTAAATTAATTAATAAGATATTGACAAATAGTATTTTTCTACAATCCATAGAAAAATGCCCATCAGATACCCATCATTATGTAATAATGCAACAATAATCATCTTTTATTTGGTATGTATCATTCAATAGTTTTTCTACTAGGTTCTTTATGATATGCCACCAAATTAAATTTTAGATTAAAACAATGAGCAAATTTATCCATGTAAGAGTTTCACAGTTAGGATTTGAACTAAGGTCTTTCTACAAAGCTAATGTGCTATCTTTTATCCTACAATTTTTACTAGGCTAGGCCATGGTTCATATTATATCAAATGTCCCAATTCCTTAATGTTTAGTGCCTAGATGAATCTAATACTTCCCTTAAGTTTGAAAATTCATTCCTAGTTTTCTAAAAGATTACATTAGTTAGTTTCATTTTTTATTTCATTCTTAAAATCAGCATACTACAGGGACACAGCCACATCAAAGTTTATAGCAGTGCAATTCGCAATAGCTAAACTGTGGAGCCTACCTAGATGTCCCTCAGTTGATGAATGGATAAGAAAAATGTGGCATATATACAAAATGGAATTTTACTCATCAATAAAAGAATAAAATCATGGCATTTGCAGGCAAATGGATGGTGTTGGAGAAGATAATGCTAAGTGAATTAGCGAATCCACAAAAAACAAATGCCCAATGTTTTCTCTGATATAAGGAGGCTGATTCATAGTGGAGTAGGGAGGGGGGGAGCATGAGAGAAATAGATGAACTCTAGATAAGGCAGAGGGATGGGAAGGAAAGGGAGGGGGCTGGGGGTTAACAAGGATGGTGGAATGTGATAGACATCATTATCCAAAGTACATGCATGAAGATATGAATTGATGTCAACATACTTTATATGCAACCAGAGATTGTGCTATATACGTGTAGTAAGAATTTTAATGCATTCCACTGTCATTTATTTTTTAAAAAATCAATAAAAAATGGAAAAACATAAAAAAATTGGAAGAAAAATAAAAATATTACATGATATTTTATAATGATTAATGAATTCAGAAATTAATAAATTAAATTTCTTCTTTCACATTTAATTTCCTAAAGATGACCACTTTTAATAATTTTCTCTGTACAAAATCAGACTTTTTCTCTGTGTACATTGACTTATATGTACAGTTCAGATTGCTCTGTATAAATTTAAAAATATAAAATACTATACCTTATTTTTTTCACATTATACTACTTTATCTGTCCTTCAGACGTTGATCTATTTATTTTTTGTAAGGAAAAAATTTATTCCATTCTTTAGGTTGTTACTATTATTTTAATATTACAAATAAAGATATGATATAAAACAAATTTCCAGGGAAAATAATTGCTAAGTCATGCTTTAGTGTGTTTAGCATGTTTTCATACAATTTCTATTATAAGTTGTTTATATTTTATTTTCTGTTAATTGTCTATCTTTTGCTGCATTTTGGGTACGCTGCTTAATTGAGTCATTTTATTTCATTTGTTTCCCCAAATAATATGACTATAGCATAAAGCTTTAATTTTTTCCTCATGGGATTCCCAGCTTATATACCTAAGACCTGACAGATTTGGGGAATTTACTCTTTAATTGACAGTATGCTGAAGTTACCCCAAATTCAATTTCACCATCTTTAAAAAAAATGTAGAATATTTCAATATGCACAAGGGTGTTTACATACATGAAGATCATATAAAGAACAGTTTTGAAAAGTCAGTCAGCCTTAATAAATCTGATTCTGCCAAGGCATTTGAAGCATTTTGTGTCTGCCTTTCACATCCCATCCCTATTCCCTGTCCTCCATCTCCGTCCTGAAATTTGTGTTTTTCATTCCTATTATAGTTTTACTATATGCTATGCATCCCTAATGAACATTCCTAAAATTTCACAAGTTTTTCCTATATGTAAATGAAACTATTCTGTATGTGTTCAAAGACCAAATTGTTTTCTGCTGGCCATGTATTTGAGTCTTTGTTGTTACCTACACTTAATGTACATAGCCAGAGAAATTTTTGGTCTTTGCTATTGATGTTATTTGCATTTCACCTCCTTAGTCTCTAGGTTTATTTTGTTGCTTTGGGAAACTGGTGCTAGAGCAAAGTTTCAAAATCATATTTATAAATGGATTGCATGCATTCTTTCTTTTGTCTTTGCCTTTCTTTTTCTCTCTCTCTTAATTTCCATCTGTTTTACTTTAAAAAAATCCTTCCTTCCTTTTTTCTCCTTCAGAAGTCATGAAAATTAAGAACCTAGTTTCTGAAGCCAGACAGTGTAGAATCAAATCTCAGCTCTGAAACTAAAGATGTAGACCTTGGCATATCACTATGCTCTTTCTGCAGTATTATAATATAAGAATATTCCCATTTATTCATATATATGGGAATATTCTTCCTTATTAAAGGAGGATTGGATTATAACTATCTATGTAATAGTGTTGAAAAAATTATATATGAGATAATTCACTGATGCATAAAGTACTCATTAGTAAAATGTATTTTTTCTCTATTTCTATCAACAGTTCCTCACATGTCTTTCTTTTACCTATAATCACCCAAGTTATTAAGAGCAATAGGGTACCCATTGGCCCTCCAGCAACTTTGTCATCCTGAAATAGGAAGAATTTCAATCTTTTAAGTAGTTCTGTTGAGGGAAGGTTGTGAAAGCCATGTCTCACAGGAAAGAAATCTACCAATAGGAATGTTGTTCCCTCAGTGAAATCACCTTTGGTAAAGACAAATGTTGAGTGTTAGTAGTAGCACCAATTATTTCTTGAAACCATTGCAAATACAATGTGGAAAAAATAGATAAGATTACTGTCTTTTGGATTTTAAAGTTTAGTGGAAGAGATCCATTAAACAATTCTTAAATATAAATGTATCAAATACAATGAAGAGCTGTAAGAGGATAAAATAGAAAGCCCTAGCCAATTTGGGAAGTGGGGAGGGGGAGTGTGGAGGAAAGGAATTTAAATTGTTTTTCCTCCACAATAATATGAGCCAAGAATACAATTTAAATACAGATCTCTTTTAACATCTAGCATAGGCAATACGAACATAAAACAATATCTTTCTTTTCTTTCAATCCTAATTGTCCAGAGTGGTCTAACATCCCATAATTATTTTCAGCAAACTTTATTAATGTAGTAATCTTATCATGATCTGTTCCACTAATTGTCGGGTAACAGAAAGTATATTCTCAGATGTGTCTTTTATATTTTACACTACACTTAATCGCACCTTATGTAATTAATTTTATAATTCTCTCTATACTGTAGTTTATATCTGGATCATTGGCTTTGATACACAAGTGTTATACTCCTTCTCAGGCTTGCTAGATAACTCTTGTTCTTCCTTATCTAATACCATAATCCATTTACTTGTTTTCTCTAACTATTTGCTATTGGCATGTTAACTGCTCATCTCCTCTCTCAGTTAACCCTATAGTATTCAAGAATTTTATTGTTTGAGGTATTTTATCCACTCTGTTTTTGTTCTAAATATGTGTTTTACATTTTTATAAAAAATATATGTTTTATCTAACATAATGAAAACTAAAAATAACCTTTTCAAGACAACAATTCTAAGGGAACTTTTAAACATAAATAAGAAAAATTTTCAAATGTTAAATAAGAAATAAATAACTATCTATTCTTTATTCATTCAGCAAACATAAAGTGCTAAATGTGTATCAATCAGTATTCTGGGAGATAATTACTTTAGGCTCTACTGTAGTTGACCTAAACAATATCATTTTATTAACTGGAATGGAAAAGGATAATACCAAAGACATAAAATTAAGAACAAGAACTGTTTGAATAAACCTTGTCTTGCTATAAATCTAAGAATTGAGTTTCTTATCTCTTTATAAGCCCATGGCCTTACCCCCTGCCTTCTTTAACTTAAATGAACTTTCTAAGAATTCTAGCTATAATAGGCACTTTTGATTGATTCACTTTACTTAGAAGCAATTTATATAACTGATGAATGAGTTAAATATGCAAGCATTTTCATCTAGCATGATCCATGTATAGTGGCACTTAAACAGTAAATTCAAACAATTATGTAATTAAAATAAGGACAAAATAACATATTGCTTTATTTCCTGATAAAAGTTGCTAGTACATTAATTAGTTGCAAAATAGAAGATTATAAAAATAAAAAAAGTAAAGCTGTTGAAAGCTTATGACTTCTCAGAGAAAGATTAATTTTTAAAACATAACATGATTTTTAAGATGCTTTTTTAATTCAGTATTTTAATTTTATTTCAAATAACATTCAGATTATAATTATCATTTTAGAAGACATTAAAAGTTAAGGTTAAAAGGTTGACTTGCTTTAGAATTATAATTGTTTTAGTTACTAATAAAATGTTTTTTAAACTTTTTTTTTTAGTGTTGTTGATGAATTTAGAAAAAAGGAGAATGATGCAGCTGTTAAAATTCAGAGCTGGTTTCGAGGATGTCGAATTAGGGCATATATCAGGTATGTTGATTTTGTTATGGAAACTTCAGATGTAACACTAAAATATGTTCCTTAGAAAATGTAACGTATTACTCATTTCAAATAGTCCCTTATTTTACTCATAGAAATAAATTTGAATTGTTTTATATCTTTTAAAAAGAAATATTTAGTATTTTTTACCTTTTCTTTAACAAAAAACTAAGTTATATTAGTCATGTCTCTACTTTTAATAATTTTCAATATGTGTAAATATTTGATCAAATACTTTTCCCCAAATTCTAAAGATGATGATAAGTGATTGATTTCATATTTATAGTAATGAATTGACAGGTAAGAAGCTGGTAGTGAGAAACTATTTCAATCCTCTCCTTACATGTATAGGTTAAAGCAAATGATGCCCAAAATATGTCACTCTGATTATACAAAGAGACTGAGCTTTATCCTGATCTCAATTCTTTCTACTCTTTCTTCAGTGTCCAAACATTCCCTCAGTCTCCCCTTAATTATGAAAAAAAAATTTCTTGGCAAGATAGAAGAAGAATATGCCTAGTTCATAATAACTCAGATCACAGGCTGTGGTCACACTTTATGATTCCTTATACTAGATATAAAGGTCAGGCATGCAAATTTCAAGTGTAAAGATAAGGCTTCTTTTTTGTCCACTCTTGAACCTAGAATAAGACTGCAAAGAGTATTCTTTATTTGGCAGACTAACATGATATTGGCTTAGATAGACTAAAGAATATAAGAAAATAATGAAGAGGTAAACTGTTTCTTGACCTCAAGAATTATTTCTAGTTATTTGTCAAGATGTGTATCAGTAGTGCCTGGCTTATTTTTCAACATGTCACTATGACCTATTTTATAATTCTAACATTCAAACATATTTTAAAGAATAAGTAATACGGAATAATTGATTTTAAAATGTTATTTAATCAGAAGCCCCAAAGAAATAATGAAATTATCTATCCCTTTTTTATATTTTTATAAAGATTAATTTCATATCAGAACTATAAATTTCTATTCTTTAAATGTACACATACACTTGGCTTTGAATTTGATCTCTTGAATTGTAGGAAAGTGTATTATAGGTAATGATCTAAGAGTCATCCTTGTTTCACTGAAAGCATACTAATAATCATATTTTTGCCTAGATATTTACACAGAGTAGCAACAATTATTCAAAAATGCTGGAGAAGTTACTTAGGGAAAAAACAGTATCGACATCTTGTGAAGGTAAATATAAAATGTATGTATGTATATTAGCATTTATATTATACAACATGCTGTAAAATTACTTTTTTTATTTACATGTAGTTTGGATGTTGCTGATGATAAATATTTATATAAAGTCAAAGGGCTTAATTTGGGGGGAAAGAGTTGTGTTAATCAACTTTTTATCACTGTGACTAAAACATGCGACAAGAACAACTTAGAAGAGGAAACGTTTGTTTTGAATGCATAGTTTCAGAAGTCTCAGGCTGCTATGGTTGGCCAACTCCTTTGCTCTGGGTCTATGATGAGGCAGAGGGTCATAGAAGAACGGTGTGGCAGAGGAAAGCTGCTTAATTCATGAAAGCTGGGAACGGAAAGAGAAAGCATAAAGGGCCAGGAAAAAATTTATTTTCCCAAGGGCATAACCCATTGACCAACTTCCTTTAGCCATAGCCTATCTGCCTACAGTTGCCACCCAGTAATACATTCAAATTATTATCTATCAAATGGATAAATCCATCGATTAGGTTAAAGCTTTTGTAAACTAATTAGGTCATTTGTGAACATTCCTTCATTGTTTAGCATATGAGCTTTGAGGGGAACACCTTAAATACAAACCATAACAAGAGTTTCTTCTGAGACTTTACTATTTTTTTCCATGGTCATTTGACTTCTTTATACTCAAACAACCTTGGTTATTCTAATTTTGTTTAAAGAACCTTCACAATGTATGCATTTATATTTACTTATCTGTTGATGATTGTCTATACTTTCTAGATGGTGAGGTCTTTGAGAGTAGCTACCATAGCTCATTTTTAGATCAACAACATTTTAGATTAATGCTCAGTTCTTAGCAGTCATAAACATCCTCATGAAATCATAAAGCAAACAACAGGCCATCTTTCATAGTCTCTTCATTTTATTAATAGGTGCAAATAAGATAAATAAGGAAGGGGGAATGGGAATAGGAAAGACAGTAGAATGCATTAGACATAACTTTCCTATGTTCACATATGAATACATGACCAGTATAACTCCACATCACATACAATTACAAGAATGGGAAGTTATATTCCATGTACATATAATATGTCAAAATGCACTCTACTGTCATGTATATCTAAAAAGAACAAAAAAAGATTTTAAAAAATCAATAAATATTTGTTCCAAATGGATTTTTATAGAAAGTTATCTCCATTTGTGGTTATTTCACTGATGTATTTGCTATTAATATTATTGGAAAGTAACAAAAGATTTCATGGTGCCTTTGTGCTAGCTATTATTTACTAAACACCTGCTATTTACCAGGCATTTTGCAAACATTTAGTTTTTGTATCATGATGTTCATAAACAGTTATCTATTATAATACCTATTCATCAAGTTAGGAAACTAGATCTACTACACTTGTTCATGAACACACTATACCATATTTCATATAGAGAGCAACCTTAAAGTTGGTAGAAAAGCTTTCACATTGCATGTTAATTTTCTGATAATAGCCAACATCCTCTGCTTTATCTCCAGGAGGACAGAGACTATGTCTCTTTATAGTTGCTTTCTCTTAGCATGGTGCCTGGCATTCAGTAGGTATTTAGTTAACACATATAAATGAATTGAATAATGAACACCAATATTGTTGCTATTCGCTTTATCAGGTAGAAGTTAAAAATTGAACCTGATCAGTCATCAATCTCAGTATAACCTTGCTTTTTTCCTTTCTTGACTTGATTTTGGTTAAAAGTATCATTTTAAAAGAGTAACTCTTTGAAGTCAGAAATCAAATGCTTCTATTTCTGTTTCTGTTTAATACTTTGGAAAGGAAAAATTTGGAAAAAAAAATGTAACTAGTAAGTACATGTTTTCCCAAGTATTTCATCTACATTTTTTTCTCTTTTTATTTTCTCAAATTGAATACCCAGACATTGTGGTAATACTTTTATCTTACCTACGTATAAACGGTCCTTATTTTTTATTTTAAGATATATAGAGATATAGAATTCTATTGTCTTGAGAAGATATTTCAGATTCTATCGTAACTTAATTGTACTATTTACTGGAGAATTAAATTTATTATTTGAACCTATTTTTTCCTACAAAATGGGGAAAAATATGTAATTAAATATCAAATTTATATTAATGCTTTTCAATATTGTTTTCCATACCCAACGTTTTTACGTTTTCTTTCCTTCGGTTTTTGACATATGATTTTATTTCTAAATTTTTTCTTTTTCTAAAATTATTATTCTATTCATATTTCAAGTCATTAAAAGTGTTTTTTAATTTTGAATTAGTTTGATGTTTATAAAAAAGTTGCAAAACTAATATAAATTTGTGTGTTCATCACTCGGATTTCTTCACTCACATAAAGAAATTTGTTTTATTATTTTCTCTATATACTTATTTTTAATTTTTCTCTCTTGCTACATACTGTTATTTTTTAATTATGAGACAAAGTTGCAGAATCCATATCACCTTATTTCAAAAGGTATCAGTGCATATTTTCTATGTAGCCATATTACAAGGGATCAAAATCAGGAAATTAACATCTGTACAAAGCTATTTTCTAATCTATAGACTGTATTCATATTTTATTGATTATCCCAATAATTTTATTTATAACAAAACATCTTTTCCAGGGTACAAACTAGAATTTCACATTGCACTTTTTTGTCAAGTTTCTTTAGTCACTTTTAATCAAGAATGGTTAATTCTTGAGTCTGTTTTTTCTTTCAAGACCCTGATTTTGATAAGTAAAGGATAAGTATTTTTAAGATTATTTCTCAATTTTGTTTTATTGTTGATTCTACATTATTAAATTGAGGTTATGCGTTTTTAGCAGAAATATATCATTAGTGCTTAGAGTCCAGTCTCCTCCACAGCTGTTCCAAAACTTACTTATGGAGTATTAGGTATCTCCTAGGAGCAATGGGAATGCTAATTGCTATGTTTCTTCATTTTAGTACATAATTTTAGGATGCCTAAATGATGTCAGTTTCCTTAATGATTGTTGATATTAACTTTAACTATTTAAAATGTGTCATCTCTCACGTTTCTACATCATAAACTATTTTCCTTTTATGAGTCAATATTTAAACACCCTGTGTATATCTTCTTTATCATCAAATTTTTGTAGACTAATTTAATACCCAATGATGATTCTTACCAGAATCAATCATTACTATGTTTGTCAAATAATGATTTTTTCTATAACCCCACAATTTCTTCTATTTACTTACTAATAATCTTCTGTAAGGGCTTTTCCTTCTCTTCCAATTATTTATCCATGTATTTATATATGTATGAACTGATGAATTCCTATTTTATTCAATGGATTATAATCAGTCAGTGTCACTAATTATTGTGGTGCTCAAAGTGTCCCAGATTTTGCCAGTGGAATTTTTCAAGGCAAGTTTTTTGAAGAATCAAATTATTTAACCAGGAAGATCAAGGAATTAAAGTATTTTTTATGGAGTAATGGGCACTTTAACCATATTATTCATTAGTGGTTATGGATGTATATCAGTAGTATAGACAAATACAACAGAGTATACATATTCATGAGGCATTATAGGACCACTACTGACTTACTTGTATTGCTGTATTTTCTCCTCAAGCTTCTCATGAAGAGGCTTTCAATGATTAATGAAACTTACTTTTAAAAAGTCTCAAAAGGTACCAGAGTGTATACATTTCAGTGATATTAGAGTAGCAAACTTGGTGATGTGTATTTATCCTAATGATTCTATGGTTGGAGAAAAAATATTTTTAAAAGTTCAAGTAATAAACCACTCAAGAAAAATTGATTTGTTACATTAGTGTCTCAACTAGATTTGATCAAAAAGGTATGATTCATCATGATCACCAAGTAATCCTCTGGTTCTCAAAATATATTTTCCTTCACTTCATTCTTTATGATTTTTAAATCTATTAAGCTTTAAGTTCTTTGAGAATAACTCTTATTTATTTATTTCTGCCATTATATACATATTGCTTAATATAAGGCATGAAACAATCCTAATGGGGTGGGGTCTCAATAAGTATTTATTGAATGAGATTAAAGTAGCTCTTATGTACTGGTTGCCTCGTGTGAACAGAATATTACACTAAGTGCTTTACATTCTTAATGTGTACATCAACTATTACACTAAGCCTCTGAATACTGTCATTAATTTATAGATAAAGATTCTTAGGCTCAGGTTACCTCCCCTAGGACACACTGTTAATCATAAGTGGAGACCAGTTCAAACCCAGTTTGATCTGATTCCAAAACTCATACATTGAGCAGGTAGGCAATTCAGTCATTACTAGAGAGTTTCCTCCTTTGAGGTATCCAGAGGTCCTGTGGGACTAAAGAAGTGCCAATTTATCAGAGATATCTGCCTTCAGGGAACCTTCATTCAAAAGATGCCCATTGTCTAAAATTATGTTTGATCCTTCCAAGTTCATACTTTTAAGACTCTTAAGACTGCTAGGCCACATAAAAGAAATGAGAATTTTTGCCAGAGCTTAGAGTTTAGTTTCCTTCATAGCTGCCACCAAACTTACCCCCAAGTATTAGGCACCTCCTAGGAGCAATAGGAATGCTGGATGCTGTATTTCTTAATTTCAAAAGGCTAATGGAAGGTGAGTTGAAGATACTTTTAAGATTGCCATGGTTTATCCTGTCACACACGTTAACACACAATGTCACATATATTGTCCTGTAGTCATGGTTACACCATCATTTTCCAAATATATTTTGTTTAATTTTTTAGCCTAACAGCTATTTATACTAATAATAATGCCTTGTAGTGTATGGTTACACTATAAGTTAAATGATATTTGATAGTGACTTGAAAACTTTAATAACAGAACTCCTTTTTTAACAAGAATTTAAGAGAATTTTTGTCCCTATATGTAAAAAGGTACTGTCACAAAGCTATTTTGTAAGCTAGAGAAATGGAACTACTTAGATTCTTTTTCTTTTTTATTATTATTAGTTATTCAAAACATTACATAGCTCTTAACATATCATATTTCA